AATCCTTAACCAATTCTGTTTCTGAATCCAACTCAATCAATACATTATAAATTCTTTTAATATGAGCTTGAGATTGATCTTTAATCTGTTTCATCAAATTTGCATCCTGTAAGGTAATGCCAGCTCTTTGATCCATACGCCACCTCATTGTCAATTGGTTATAATAAAACCAAGAATATTCAATATTTTCTTGTTTCAACGATGATACATATATCTCTTAAGAGAGTGTCTCATTGCTAACCGGCTCCTCCTCTTTTTGTCAACTGGAATAGATTTTTTATTTTCAACTCCTTTCTGGTGGAAGGCATAGTGAAGGAGGAGAGATAAGCATAACCAAATAGTTTTGAATGCCATCCCATGGCACAGTGTATTCACTAATAAGTATTTTGAGAAAACTAGTTTTCTGTTGCTTCCATGGTAGGCCCCAAATTGTTGGATGGAATGATTTCTAAAATATTATTTTTCAAATCCTTTTAGAAATAAGAATCTTGCAAAAATCAATAGTAGTAACTGTGAGAGGGATCTCGGAGTCCTAGTGGACAATCACTTAAATATGAGCCAGCAGTGTGCTGCAGCTGCCAAAAAAGCCAACACAGTACTAGGCTGCATTAACACAGGGATCGAATCAAGATCACGTGAAGTGTTAATACCACTTTACAATGCCTTGGTAAGGCCACACTTGGAATACTGCATCCAGTTTTGGTCATCATGATGTAAATAAGATGTTGAGACTCTAGAAAGAGTACAGAGAAGAGCAACAAAGATGATTAGGGGACTGGAGACTAAAGCATATAAGGAAAGGCTGCTGGAATTGGGTATGTCTAGTTTAATGAAGAGAAGGACGAGGGGGGACATGATAGCAGTGTTCCAATATCTCAGGGGCTGCCACAAAGAAGAGGGAGTCAAACTATTTTTCCTGAAGGCAGGACAAGAAGCAATGGGTGGAAACTAAGCAAGGAGAGAAGCAACCTAGAACTAAGGAGAAATTTTCTGACAGTTAGAACAATTAACCAGTGGAACAACCTGCCTCCAGAAGCTGCTGGAATTGGTTATGAAGAGAAGGACGAGGGATTACATGATAGCAGTGTTCCAATATCTTGGGTTGCGACAAAGAAGAGGGAGTCAAGCTATTCTCCAAAGCACCTGAAGGCAGGATAAGAAGCAATGGATGGAAACTAATCAAGGAGAGAAGCAACCTAGAACTGAAAAGAAATTTCCTGACAGTTAGAACAATTAATCAGTGGAACTACTTGCCTCCAGAAGTTGTGAATGCTCCAACACTGGAAGTTTTTAAGAAGACACTGGACAGCCATTTGTCTGAAACAGTATAGGTTCTCCTGCTTGAGTAGGAGGTTAGACTAGAAAACTTCCAAAGTCCCTTCCAATTCTATTCTATTCTATTAATGAGCCCAGCATATAAAGATAGGATGTATTCAACGTCTTCCACTTTGTATAATTGTCACCTTTGTTATGTTTAACTTAAGGAATGAATTATTATTATTGTTGTTATTGTTATAGAATCAGTTGTGTTTCTCTTGTGTATTTCCTCAACAGGTTAAAAATTATTTCAGCTCAATGGACAAAAAAACTTCAGAGCTCCGTGCTGTTCAACAAGCAATAGAAACAATTGAAGAAAATATCCAGTGGATGGATAAGAACCTTGAAAGAATCAAGGCATGGTTACAGATTAATAGCAAAGTGTGAAGTTGTACGTAAACTATTGATTCAGAATTGACAGAAGTAAGTTATCAAGCCTATCCATACTGCCTATAAACCGATAGGAATCTCTGTAACAGAATTGTTCCTTAATATATTTAAAATTATTCTACTTGGACTACGTTGGGGCTTGTGGAAAACAAAGGCAAGAGAAACAGTATTGCAGATCTATGTGCATATGATAAGCCCAGTTTTTTACTACTATAACTGCAATGCCCTACACGAAGTTTTTTTTTTATAACAATAGCTTTAATAATTAGCTTGAAACAAGTTTGTACAACAAGTACAACAACAAGTGAGGCCAGAATTTCTATTGCGAAGTGAATAATTGCTCCATTTTATGACCTTTCTTGCCACAGTTGTTAAGTGAATCACTGCAGTTGTTAAGTTACTAACATGGCTGTTAAATGAATCTGGCTTTCCCAGATTGTCAGGTCGCAAAAGGTTTTCACATAACCCTGAGATTCTGCAACCGTCATAAATACGAACTAGTTGCCAAGCATCCAAATTTCAATCATGTGACCATGGGGATGCTGCAAGGGTCATAAGTCACTTTTTTCAGTGTCATTGTAACTTCGATTACTAAATGAACGGTTGTAAGTCGAGGACTACCCGTAATGGCCATTATTTTAAAATAACCATTTCTTTAAAATAACTCTACAGACTGCAGGCTAGAATTAAATAGTATTTACCGGTAACTGAATGTTAAAATGAGCTTAAGAGAGTTATTTCGCTACTCAGGGCAGCTATAAAAATTAAGACAGTGTATAAGTAACGGGTAAACTTCACTTATATACCATTTTTTTCTTGCCTGTTCTAGCACAATTTCAAAGAGATTGTGGGGAAAAGATCATTTTGTTGCATCTCAAAACTATACACAATTATGTACACAATTGTGGCAATTCCACTGTAATTCGCAGTTAATGACCACTCATTCATCAGCTGTTCAAAGTTACAACAGCACTGAATAAGTGGTACTGACAACTGATCCTTGAAACTTCACCTTTCCTAGCATTCTCCTGGTCACATGATCATGCTCTGGGTGCTTGGCAATGTTTACGATGCTTGCAGCATTCTGCGGTCACATGATCACCATTTGTGATCTTCTCTGCCAGCTGCCTGCAAGCAAAGTCAGTGGGGAAGCCGGCAGGAAATGTTACAAGAGACTACTGTAAATTACTCTCATTCCTACAGTTTTTTCTCTTGAATAGCCTGGCTATGGAGTACAAGATCCTGGGGATGGATCCTGGAAATGTTGTACTTCCTTGCCCATGCCTATAACACAACTGCCCTTTACGCACCCTCACTCACCTGGTAGCAGCCACCCCCAATCCTGCAATGCCATGCCAATGCGGCTCCCTACACATCTTCCCCCTGGAATGGGACAACTTGCCACAGCCAACTTGCCACGGCCAACTCGCTGTGGAACAACTCACCATGGCCATCTCGCCACGGGACAACTCGCTGCAGGACAATTCAACAATTCAATCGTTCAAAATAATTTTAAAAAAGATTTTAATTTTTGTCGTTCACATTTCATTTTGGCATCCTTTCTTTCATGCTTCTAGTCCACTATTTCTTCAATATTAGTGTAACTCTTGTCCCGCAGCAAGTTGGCCTGTGGCAAGTTGGCCATGGCGAGTTGTCATAGACCAGGGGTGTGAAACTGCGGCCCACAGGGCAGATGCGCCACGCGTAGGCCATGCCCACCCTGGCTCCGCAAAGACAAAAAACATGTCATGATACATCACGTGACATGATCGAGTTTGGCACCCATGTCATAGACCCTCTTCCCCTACCCAGCAACAGCTGGCCCCACTATGCTTACACCAACCACTTACCCACTTGCCAGCCTGCTTGAGAGCTGCCTGGGACTTGCAACTTCCTGCCAGCTTCTCCATTGACTTTGCCTGTTGGAAGTCAGCAGGAAGTTGTGAGGTAGTCCTCAATGATACCAACAGGACTGCCGTCACTAAGCAACATCTTTTGCAACTATATTACATAGTGATGGAAATTCTGGTCACAATTACTATTGTTAAGCGAGGATTATCTACATGAAGATGCTTGTGTAATTCTTTCTTTGATGGCACCTGGCAAAAAAAGATCACTTTCCACAAGCTTAATTATTCAGTGAAGAAATTTTAATTAGGTATATTGGTGCACACTGTTATAATTTTATTTTTGAGATAATAGTATAAAAGTCATATAGAAGGAGGTAGTTGTGCCTCAAGAATGTCATTCCTTCATTAATGTTCTTGTTTCACCCGCATTCGTCTACTTATCCACAAGTCATACATTTGTGTTGTGGTGAAAGGCTTTTATTAAACATTTTGATGGATTTCACAACAACCTTGTTACAATAAACTACAGTATTTCCTATTTCTGGGAGTAAAGTTGAGAGGTAAATCTTTGCCTTGGAATGTATCATTTCTAAAAACTTCTCTGTATTGTTAAAATATGCTAAAATATTAGTATTCTCAGTGCAACAAAATGACAGAGTATTAACCTCCAAAATAAGTTGCACTGTTTTAAATGTCATCATTTGTATTGAGTAGCATTGAATTTCTTTTTTTAAAAAATAATATTTTATTCATTTTCTCATTTTACAATTGAGTATTTAAAAAGCAACGTGATGACTGGATTAATCCATAGTTCAATAGCATACATAAATCTTTAGTATAAACCTTATGTTACAACATCAGATATTTCCTCTGTTTTTCCCTTAATATCTACTATCTTGTATTAAGCTAATATTATCAACTAAATAAAAACATCTTTGTTACAATTATCAATAGTGTTAGCTTACACATATCTTAATTGCATTTGCATTCGATTCTTATATACAATCAATGTTGCTTTCCCCCCCAAGCTTTAATTTCCCATCAATATTCAAATTAACATTTGTTATTTATGATTTCCAAGTGTTTTATATTTATATTTAGGTGACCAAAGTTTTCCTTACCTCAACTTCTTCCTTTTTCCCTTTTCATAACAAAGTCTAATATTCTAAATACACATTTTATCTATTTGATTATAGTCTTGTTCTGTTTTCTAAAAGATATCTATTTTCCCCCATGTTAAACCATCTAATAATATCGTATCCCCTCTAGTAAGTCAAAACCATTATATGTGTTATCTGGGTTAACCAGTAATTCAGTAATATACATAAATATCTCATATTGGGCAAACAAAATTCTTATTTTCAACTAAGTAAAAATATTCTTGTTAAATTTATCAATACTTTTTAGCCTATACATAAACTTTAATTTCCCATCAATATTCAAAGGAAAAAACACAGTTATTTATGATTTCCAAATATTTTATGCTAAGTGATCAAAATTTCCCTTATCTCAACTTCTCCCTTTTTCCCTTTTCATACCAAAGCCTAATAGTCTTGTTACACATCTTAGCTATTCAATTATAATGTTACTTTATTTTCTAAAAGTTATCTATTTTCCACCATATTCAACCCCCTAATTAGTAATATAATATCCCCTCTAATAAATCAAAGCCATTATTTTCTTCAGCCTTACTCTGGCTTTCTTCCTTTGCCATCTAACCTTCCATGTCAGTGCCTTTGAATCATCAAATAGTTCTCCCTCTATTATTATATATATTATTTGGAATAAGAAAGACCCTTTGAAGTTTTTTTTGGAAGAATGAGCCCATTTGTATTCATTAGATCGCCTCTCTATTATTCCAATTTTCCACAATTGTCCTGATAGGTTTATCTTCCATTGAGTCTGTTCTTCTTCCTTTTCCTCAAATTTTTTCTGATTTTTGTAAAACGTCTTTTTCAGTTTCAATGTTGTCACTCCCTTTTCTGATTTTTCCATTGGCTGGGTCAGTTGATCAGTTGGGTCCTCTTTCGTGGTGTTTAGCTGTTCCAATTTTCTATTATTTCCTGCATTGTTAATTCTTTGGTTGTAGTCAAGATCTGGGTTTGTATATTTAAGCTGGCATCTTGTTCGTTTATGTTGCTTCTTATTTCATCACAAGCTGAAAGGATGGTTTCATGTATTGATTTCAACATGGAAAGGATTTTTTCCTAGTCTTCATCCATATTCTCTTAATAGTATGTTAAGTTGCAGACTTTAGAATCAAACATTAAAAATAGTTTTTTCTCTTTTGTAGCTGGGTATGGGACATCTATTTCACGTGTTATAGGTGATCTTTATAGTAGAAGTTGTTTGTCAAGTAAAAGTTTATAGTCCAAGGTGTTCCATCGTGTCATATAATAACATATGCTTCTCATGTAAAGAAATAGGAAAGCAATTGCCCAAGTATAGCTCTGAGAGTCAGTAAAAGTTTACATTCATAGTTTCAGCAGGCTACATATGCCACCCAGGAGTTCCTTCTTTGCAGCTGAATATTTCACAGGTGGTAGCTGTCAAGGTCAAAGAAATTTTATCTAAAGTCTGGGCTTCAACCCAAGTCTCTTTTAAGCAATAACAAATTGTAATACCATACTTTACCACAAGATGTCACCAACGCTGTTTTAAGCTTTTTAAATCCAAAATTTATATGGTAGTTTTTCAAGTCTTATTTTTAAAAAAAATAAAAACAAACATCTCCAATGAGAAAAGGAACACTTTTAGTCCCCAAGTATCAAAAGAATATACATCCAATTAGATTAAAATTGTTCTTATAGTTGCTCTGTTTCCCCTGGGTAGTTAGTCGCCGCTTTTTTTAGAGGGTGGGGTAAAAATCCCTCTCTCCTCACAGGGGAAAAAAAAAATACTTTGGGCAGCTTTTACAGGAAAAAAATACTTAAAATCTTAAAGAGAGGATCAGGTCTCACCCAGTTTCATGTTGCTTTAAAGTTGCTTGGTGGTAATTTTGACTTCGGCTGTCAGCAGCTTAGTGACAAGCCATATTGGTATGGCTGGTCTTTCCCCCACCGGTTTGGAGGGCTTCCCCGGATCAAACGGAAGGGCTGCTGTCCTCCCGCAATCAAACGGGGATCCCCTCCTTGCCCCTTTCCAGGGTCCAGAAGAACGAATTCAGACACGGAAGACGGAGCTTGCCTTCCTGCGTCTGTGGCACCGCAATGGCAAACTGGAAGTCTAAGTAGCACTGAATTTCATTAAGACACAATTTCTAGTGGCAAAATATGTGAAAAGTCCATAATCCACAGCAGTACTTAAAAGCAAGATTGGATTGGACTGGGAAATGTGTATGCCTAGGTATTAGGTAATAGGAATTGTTAAGATATGACAAAACATATTTAAGGTATTTTCGATAGAAGTCAGGTTGCAACAGAATACAAAATAACATATATAAAGTAATACATAAAATGTTTATTAGTGTGCCACAGTAAAATGTCAAATACAGTTCAGTATTGACATTACATGTAATTAAGGACAGTCTCATTGTCTTCAATATGAAAGATGTAATCCACAAGGAAATCTCTCACTGAATCCATTTGAAAAAAGTAAACATTGTGATAGAAAACACCATGCTCTTTCTTTTAGTTCCTGTGCAGGTGAAAAGGAATCACACAGCTAAGATTCCTGGAACAACTAATGTTGGTTTAGTTTATAGAACCAGCTACCTAAGAACAGGTGTGATTGTTTTAAAATGGAAGTCAGTCGAGAGATTTCAAAGCACATCTGAATCTGGAACTATATCCATCTCTCACATATCCTGCATGGAATACTTAAAGAAAAGACAGCACTGAATTCCGATTAAGAATTATTCTGAAATCAGCTATGCCATATATGTATACATTAGAACAGTGTTTCTTGAACTTGGCAACTTTAAGATGTGTGGAGTTCAAATCCCAGAATGGCTGGCTGGGGAATTAAAGGAATTGAAATGCACACATCTCAAAAGCTGCTAAGTTTGAAAAACACTGCACTAGGATAAGGATTCTTTGCATGTTCTCAATTCCTAGGATGGGCACTGTGCCATTCTATGTATTCACCTCTTGTGTTACATATTGCTCAGAGTAAAGCAGATAGTATAGAAGAGTTTTGGGGGAGGGGGTTGTGAAAGAAGCACCAGTTACCTGTCTCTATAAGTGTGGATGTAGTACTATATCTTTCCAGGAAGCCAATGACAGATGTAGCACAAATACATTGTATGCAATGCAAGTTTTAGAGGATGGCACTGTTCATTATTTGATAAGAAGCCAAGGCTGCAGCATACTAGCTTCTACTCTGCTCCAACTTTGAAAATTTTGCAACTATTTACTCATTTTCCCCTAAGTATTCTCCAGCAAAAGTACTCATAGGCAATTGCCCTAAAAAAGAAGGCAACCAAATTCATGTTTAAAGCATTCCTTTTTATGACAAACTAGCATAGATTCACTGAGATTTACAGGCACTGTGGGTAGATTATGTGCAAATTTTTGCATATTTCACTCCTATTAAATCCATAAGAAATATCTTTCTTACAAATATAAAGCATTCTTTTCTTCTCAAAAATTAAGAAAATGACAATGATGTAGACAAAGTATGTGTCTAGAAAATGTGAGTTCATCCTAGAAAATAGCAAAATAAATGCTTTGCATGCCAAAACAGCCCAATACCATAAAACGTCCAAGATGCTATCTTTTTGCAAAACTGCTTTTGTTCAAAGTGCAGCTGTCCATCAAAATAAAGAATTTTCGCACTGGTGATAAACATCCTGAAAAGACAAAAATATATTCTATTCTTAAAAGGAAGCGTGTCATAACATTCAACAGCTGAGGCAGGAATTTTGAAATAGAAAACTAAAATATCTAGATTAGTAGGATAAACGGGGTTGACTTAAACTTAATAATAATAATAATAAAGTTAGAAGGGACCTCGGAGGTCATCTAGTCCAACCTCCTGCTCAGGCAGGAAACTAAACAATAATGTTATTCATAGAATGTATAGAGCTGTTCTTTTCAACTTTATGACTCAATACAAAAAAAAATCAGGATATAGGAACATAACATTGCATCTCTGATGCTTCATATAAGTAGAATCCTCTTACTGAACATAATTTCCTTGTTTAATGAAATTTGCTTTGCTCCCAAGAATAAAAACTAGTGTTCCATTAAGGCTTTTTTTAAAAAAAAAAAAAACAAATATATCAAAGGTTATCTTTTGTCAGGGAGCCAGATGGGGCTTAAAGGCTGGATGGTGGCAATGGGCACACTCATTCTCTCATTCTTCCCAAGCGGCTGGGAAATGGTCTTACTGTAGTTCTGAGCCCATCTTTCGCAGTATGCTTCAATTAACCAGAGGTCTGTAGAAAAAAATTAGCTCAGGTACAGCCAACAACAGTCACAGGGAGAATATGGTTTTTTAAATGATTTTATTCCAACTTCAAGGATTATGGCAGTGATCTATTGTCACCAGAGGAAGCAAGTTTATTTCTTTTATGAATGATCTGATTTTACTTCTTATTTGTAAGAAACAAGGAGAAAGTGCGCCTCTGTATTTGGCCCCCCTGGGACTCCAAAAAGGGGCTGATGCATCATGTAGGATATCCATCTGTTACTTCTAGTGTACAGCAATGGATCCCTAATGGGAAAGATGTAAGAGGGCATCTTACAAAGAAGGCACCATGTTGGGAAAGACTTTTTAGGACATCAGAATATGTGCTATGAGTCAAACTAATTTCTGAGATAGTGAAAACCTATCCTAACATCAGGATTTATAACCACAGATTTTCTAAATGTTAATTCATTCTGAATCACATGCATATTATAGATGCGTGATAGATAACTTAGGACTGCTTACCTGATGACATTTAACTTTTTTTTTGTTTTTCAGATTTTGCGGCGGAAGATTGTTCCTTTGCCTTAAAAGAGAGAAAAAGGAATCATGACATTAATTACTATATCCATGTAGTAAACACTGAGTTCACATACCGAGTGATGAATTATATGTTTTGGGGGGGGCTGATTTTGGCTTAGCATGTTCTATGAAGCGAGTCAATAAAACATGGTTAATGAAACCATAGTAAAGTGTGATACGTTAACCAGTTCATTTTAAAAAATAATGGAAAATAAAGACCGGGGGGGGGGGAATAGTTTGAAATAAACAAAATTATCAAAAACCAGGGACTAGGGTAAAAAACTTTTCATACCTTAAAACTGTTTCTCCTAAAGTTAATTGGTACTTTCATGCATCTAGAGATCCAACACTGGATCAGAGCGGTGGTACCCAATAATAAATGTATTTATTTCTTTACCATATAGATTATCCTTGATGTGACCACCATTGGGATTAAATTTCTGTTGCTAAGTGATATGGTAATAAAGCATGACACATGACCACATCACTTAGTGACTAGCAAGTCCTGTGGTTGTTAGCTAAGGCAACACCCCAATCCAAGTCATTCCAGACTTGATCCCTCCCAGCCCCAATATAAACATATAAAACAGCAAAAAGGGTATCATTTACATGTTTAAGTAACTATGGTAGAAGCTAGTATTAAATGTGCCTATGAATTTAGGCAAATAATGTACAAAGGTTCTATAAAATCTCCAGAGGCTCATTAGCTTTTGCATTAAATTTAGGAATAACGTTCTCATAAGTATGTTTCAGGCTAGGGTATAATTTTAATTTATTATAGTTACTCTTAATATCCCCACAATTTCACATTGCTCCATCTGAGTACAACAACAAGTTCATAGTTTCTATTCTAGTAATAGGTGATACAAATGAAACAAGATTAAAAAAATAAATCAGGCTTCCTGACTAACAATAGAGGGTAAAGGAATAAGCTTAAAAATTGCACATAAGATGCTTCAGAAATCCTCCTGCTCATAAAAGAGATGAAAGTGGAACTAATCACACTAGGTAGAATTGTTATGCTAAACCAGGGGTGTCAAACTGCCGGCCGGATGTGTCATGCCGAAACCGCGCCCACCCACTGCCAGCAATGGAAAAAAAAGTCACGATATGTCGCGACATGTCACATGACATTGTGAGTTTGACACCCATGTGCTAAACAATCTTTTACCTTCTTAGGCGTTTTGGATTTCTTTTCCTCCTTCCTTGGTGGTTTAGATGAGGCAGCACCTTTTGATTTATCCTCCTATGCCCAACAGAGAAAAATGCTTGTTCAGTTTTCAAGAAATACATCTTTTCAAAAAGTAGTTGCCTGTGATACATACAGGTAGTCCTCGACTTATGACAATTGGGACCAGAATCAGTTGTTAAAGCAAATCACCTTTGTTATGTGAATCCAGTTTCTCCCAACTGACATTGCTTGTCAAAAACCAGTTGGCAAGGTCACTAATCATGATTAGGTGACCACAGGATGTTGCTATCAATCGTAAATGTGCCTGAATTTTAATTACATGACTATGGTGGTAATGCGGTAGGTCCTAATTTTGAAGACAGATCAAAAATCACTTTTCCTATTTCAACCATCATTAAATGAATGGATGTTAAGTCAAGCATTATCTATACAGAAAAACTGAAATTCATGTGATCGTGATCTGACCCAAGAGTTCAGGCATATGCAAGAATAGCAATAGCACTTAGACTTGTATGCCACTTCACAGTGCTTTACAGCCCTAAGTGGTTTACAGAGTCAGTCTATTGCCCCCAACAATCTGGGTCCTCATTTTACCAACCTCAGAAGGATGGAAGGCTGAGTCAACCTTGAGCCGGTGAGATTCGAACTCTGGCAGTCAGCAGAATTAGCCTGCAATACTGCATTCTAACCACTGCACAACGGAGAAGCTAAAACTAGTTGTTAAAAATAGAACACCATATAATTCCATAATATAAGTTTAAGAGGCATTATGTTTTTATATAATGCAGCTGCTGAGACTTTAGTTAAGTGTATAGTTGACTAGGGGGAATAATAAGCTCCTTAGCTCTCCTGCCAAGCACGCCCTTTTCTGGTTCTGCTTTATCTCTCCTGAGGAAGACATAAGTTTTCTAAAGCTTAATGTTTAAATATGCATGTTCATACATATTTTATTTATGGTGTAAGAATAAATTCTTGTATTTCATTAAGCGCATATAAACATGCACGTGGGAAAACTGTGTCCAATTTGTATTATCCTGGAGAGGCAAACAAACAATAAGAAGCCTATACTTAGCACATTTTAATGTGAGAAAAACTTTTATTAGCGGGAACACATTCAAAACAACTTTTATTTTTGAAGAGGGAAGAAGAGTTTCTTTGGATAATTTAGGCAGCATTTACATGGGAGACGTTCTTGAGAATGAATAAAAACTTAGATTTACAACTAAGAAATAAAAGCAAGAATGGACATTTAATACTTGTTCCCTCATTCCATTTGACTCTAAGAAACCTGAATTAGCATTTAAAACAGCCAACTCTTTGCTCCATTATTTGAGTTAATTAATGCATGTTCGTGCAAAGACTAGAAATAAAATGCCACTCCTAAAAAGCATTTGTTTAACAAGTCTATTCTTAGCCTTAGAAGCCAACGTGAGATTAACCTCAGCTACATTCTCATACTTGGTAGAATTTTTAGTTACCTAAAAATCAGGTTACCTAAAAACTAGACAAACCTCCCAAAGGAAGAAGTTTTGATAAAGCCATATGCAAATAATTGTGGGTAGGTAAACCATGAATTCCATCTTTTTGAAGATTATTTAAATGAATCCAGTCCTTAATGGGGATGTTTACTTATTTTGAGGAGTGGCTTTAAACTGAGAAAACATCTATTTATAAACTTTTTCTATTAAATGTTGTTTACTGGATAACAGCAAGAGGACAGAAGACATGAATATGTTTTTTAAACACAGTATCCATGATAAAAAAAAGCCAGAGCTAACCTTGTTGATTACAATCAACCAAATGACACAGAAGAGAATAAGATTTCAAGTTTCAAAAATTTACAATATGTTTTGCTATCTGATTAAGAACACAGATAGTTTTCAAATTAGCCGATGTATTTTTCTCCCTCTTTTTCCTGGTCTATTTCTTTACTGAAGAATTCTTGAAACTCAAACTTGGACATATTTAAAGTCTAATAAAGATTGTTGAACTGAAGATGTTGGATGTCTTCTGACTCATCAATAGGGATTTTCGTGCACAATAGAAATAAAAATCCATTATACACATTTACACAATAGTGAAGGTGCAGGCCCAGAAACCAGGAGACAGAGTTCTATGCCTTCCTTAGGCATGAAAGCTGGTTGGGTGACTTTGGGCCAGTCCCTCTTTTTCAGCCCAACCAAACTCAAAGTTAGAAAGAAAATAAGAGGCAGAAGTATTGTGTATGCTTGCCACCTTAAGGGTAGGATAAAAATAGCTGGTGGTACAACACAGATTTGGGTCAACTTCCACTCTTCAAGTGGGATTCTTTCTTAAATACGGCTTATATTCACAAACAGGATGCAAATATTGTATAGTATACTTTAAAAAATATATTAATTCAGGACCACATAACAAAGCAAATTTTGCCCAACAGCAGATTTGACTTGCTGTTTAATAAAACAGAAGCGAGGCCATTTTGCAAACTACCCTTTGTTACTTTTGCTCCCTTAATGGCCGGACGTTAAGACTGAGATAAAGAGCACCTGGTCTCCTTGCCAAAAAAGAGGCCTACCTTTGTTGAAGGTGGCTGTGAAACAGCAGGTTTGCCACAATGGTCGAAATCCCCAGAGAGAGCATCAATGGCTGCTGAGTCACTGTCGGGCTTCTGAAATAAGAATAATTACCATTTTAAAGAACTGCGAAATAAGTACTTTTCAAAGACCATTTTAAAAGATAAGCTCTAAACCCAAATCAGAATTTTTTGTTATCAAACATCTATTTATGAGTTTCAAGCATATTTGGCACAAAGATACAGAGCAAGTGAAACGAACTTTCAAAATGCAGAAATGTTTCCAGATATCATAGGTCTTAGTTATTAAAATTAAAACCATCCTCTCTTTAAAGCTCACCACCGGGTCCTATTCCCTGAGGCTCCTCACTGGTACATGGGGTTAATTGATATGAAATGGTAAACAAATGGCTGGGAACAAAAACCCACCCAGCTACAGCAGCAAAAGTAATAAAAACACTCCATTATCACTACCACTGCTCAGCTCTATTTGGTTTCTAATTCATGTTTGTCATAAGAATCCTGCATCTGTTAAAAATTTGATCAGTTTCTTGACCTAAAGGTTCTTGAGATAAACCACCCAGGGTCATCTAAGTGAGATGGCTGGTGTAGAAATTTAATAAATAAGAATTGTTGTTCTTTCCAATATTATTCCAGATAGAAGCTATCTTATTTCTCATTGGTCTTATACAAACTAATCAAGACACCTTTTCATCTGAACAGTATTAAAATCCATGCTACATTAATGCAATATTAAAGGATTCATATCCATCATTTTGGTCCTGGAGGTAGATTCATATTTCAATAAACTAAGCCAATCTACTGGCAAGCAAACCCAGCATAGAATAGAAAGTAATACTTCCTTACCATTTGTTCTTTTGGTTTCTCGCCATCTTTATCTGTTGGCTTTATAGGCTTACCCTTTGACAAAGATAAACATAATTAAATATTAGTTTCATTCACCAGCCTATTCAAGCCTAATCTACTCTTCTATTTTAAATAATCTAGAGTTCTTGTTGGATTGTTCAACTTTTCCTAATTCGGTTGGTTCAAAACTACCTTCATGTCCTTCAAAAGTAGCATTCTGCATGCTAAAACCGTATCTCCAATACAAAACAGAGTTATGGATGTTCCATCACTGGAGTTTGTCAAGAAAAGATTGGACAACCATTTGTCTGGAATGATATAATGATTCCTGCCTTGGGCAGTGGGCTGCACAAGAAGACCTCCAAGATCTCTTCCAGTCTTATGTTTGCGTGTATATAAAACACAGTTTCAAAAAACATGAAAGGATCAAGATATTTTTATTTTCAATGTCAAGTAATTTGTCGTCCTTGCTCTAAAGCAGCCTTCCCTAACTTTCATTCTTTTAGACAACTCCTCCCATGATTCTTGATTAGCAGAAACCATCCTGACTAATGCTAAAGGATGTTCAACTTCAACACATTTAGAAGACCCTAGTCTGGGCAATAGTGTTGTTTATAAGGTAACACATGCATTTAAACACTAGGGACACCCCGTATTTATTAGTTCTTTATCAATGTTATTCAAAAGTCTAGTGCTGCATCAGTACATTTATTTATTTTAAAATATATATATTGTAAGTTTGACTTTAAACGTATATATTTACCTTTTCATCAGAGTCCAGAAGATGTCTATATTCAGGAGGGATTGTATCATCTCTTTCTCCAAGTTTGTCTTTATGCTCAGCTTTGACTTTTTCCTGTAAAAAGTGGGGTTTGTTTAAAAGACACTTATTCTTTTAGAGGAGTCTAATGAATCCCGACCATGATTTATAGATGACAGTCTCAGCTTCATAACCTCCTCAGAATGAAAATGTTTTTAAAAAGGGATGTCACAAAGCATTAAAAGAATGCCACAAAACATTGCAGATTCAAATATCCTTATATGAAATATTTTATAATGTCATCTAAATACAAAGCAACATTTTTTGTAAACGAATTCAAGAAATACTAGAACCTTTTTAAACATGTTTAAGTCAAGCTTCTGTGAATTTTCAGTTTTTTTGGTGCAAAGTGTTTTGTGAAAATTAAATTCACAGCTATACAAAAAACACAAATTTGTAATTTTTGAGTAACATTTTTTGTTCCACAGATATAATTTTGAAATCTAATAAGGGATTAGAGAGATAAAATAAAGATTTTATTTTGATTTTCAGTATTTAAAGAGGCAAACAAAGGGAGAAAAAGGGTTCCTAGCAGGAATAAAGCAATAAAACTATGTGTAGTGAAGCAAACAATGACTTTAGAGAGCTGACACAGAAAACATCTCTACTTCCCTAGTGTTTTAGCAAACTTCCCTGGCTCAGTCCATCCATACTTCTGCCAAAACTAGCTCAGGGCATTTAGTTTTCTTTGCAACTTTGGAAACCAAGTATAGTACTCATTAGCAGTTTGGGAGAAGGGTCTCTGCTATTTTCTCACCTTTACTTTATCCAAAACTGGTTTGTTTTCATCTGGGTCAGGCTCTCTTTGTCCCAGTGAGTCTGCAAGAAGGTCTGCAGCATCATCAAGTTCTTTCCTACCCTGACAGGTTTAAGAAAAACAAAAAAGACATACAGATTATGTAGAGCCAGGTGAAAAAGCCTTGAAAGGCTGTAGGCAAGACTACAGTCAGCATTTTATTTTTGCATCTCTGACCAGAAGCAAGGGAATTCGGCTTCCAATATTTCTGAATCCTTTTTTTAAAAAAAAATAGTTGTAAATCAAATTTAACTCAAACAATGCTTTAGCATCAATAAAAGTCCTTCCAATGGAACCCAAGAACACTACTAGATTGCTCCAACAAATAACTAGCTGCATAAAAAAAAATGACTACATTTGCACACTTTTTTTTTTACATAATTTAGTTTCTACCAAACTTCAAGAGCCTGGATTTAAACATCACCAACATTCCTAAAACATCAAATGGGCTAATAAAACTGAATTGGAATGTCACTGTAACTGGATATCGATAAGTTAGTGAAAGTTGCTAATATTTGAAATTTTGGCCATGAGTACAGTTATCGAGAAGTATTGCTCTGCTTACTGGGATGGCTGCTTGTTTTGGAACAGATGAATGCACGGCAGAAGTGGCAGCAGAAGAAATAACCTCTTCAGTGGGAACAGCAGGCTTGCTAGGAGGACCTGTAGATTTCTATAAGGAAAGGAAAGGATTCATCAATACATGTAAAAGGGAGGCAAAAAGAAGTTAACACAGAGAGCTGTTTCTGACCTGTCCCTTAATGCTTCCTAAATGCTTTTCTAAAACTAAAAAATTTACAGAAAATGCAACAATTTTTTCCTCCAGTAATTACTGAGAGCTGAAATCCAATTATTTCCTAGCCAGCTAATAAAAAAGAAAACTGTGAATGCTGACTGCCTTCTGCAAAAATCCCTTCGGTTAAAACGTTCTGACTTATCCAGAAATTTTCTGAAAATGTCAGTTAAAAAATTAACTTGGGATGTACTAACTATGAAAAAAATGCAAAATCTGTGTCCAAATTTATTAGAAGGGATGTAAAAATGATCCTATAAATACAATATTATTGTACAGATCTACTGAATGCAATGCAATATAAAGTATACAGTTCTACCACAATTAATAGAATATTTTTAAAAAAATCTAGACTCAAAGCTCTCCCTCCCTCCCCCCTTCTCTCTCTCTCTCTCACTCTCTCCCTCTCCCTTTCTCTCCCAATCCTTACCGCAGGTGTTTCTGTTGTTGATGCTGGTGCAGAACAAGAAAACCCTTCAGATAAAGCATCAAGAAGTTCACTTTCACTCAGGGGCTAGAAATCAGAATAAATCATTAAAAATGTTTTAATACATATCTAAATGTCCCCTTTTTTCCTTCATAAGGTAACTGAATTAATTCTTATGAAAGAGTTAATATTCAGTTACATAAGTATCCAGTTGGAAGATATTAAGTCATAACAAAGGCTTTCAATTTATTTATTTTTAAACTAGAATATATTAAAGGTTTCTGACCAATCTGTACACACACCTGAGGCTTTTTTTCAGGTTTTGGCAAAAGTGGCTTCCCATCTTTATCCTGTGGAGGAAAAAAAAAGGGGGGGGGGAGTCTAGCAATTAATATACAATGGCAATTACTTAATATTATACATAATTCTGACACAAATTTAGGAGATCAGCTGTCTTATAGAATCCAGTAGATATGTTTCCAGAGTGACCACAGTAACAAATGCCTGTGGCTGCTTTTATCAACTGCATCTTTTAATTAGCTTCTGCTCCTTCCTCAAATATGTTTGTGAAAAAGATGTTGTCCATGCTGAAAGATGAGCTGGAAGATTTAGCTACTGCAGGATATATCTTTCCACCAGCTTAGAAATTTTGAGAACCGTCAACATGCAATCAAGTTACACAATTCATACTAATTCAGGATATTGATCTTGACTATATTGTACAAGGCATTCATGGTCAAGGATCCACATGCAATTTAAAATGCTACTGTCTAGATTAAGGCAAACAATCTAGCTCCCAGCACTCCCCAACTATACCATCATAATTCAACATAAAAAGCAGGAATTGCAGAAAGAACATTCTTATCTGCATTTTGCTGGCCAGCTGTTACAGGTTCCAAGGGGGAGTTTTCTGTCAATTAATTTTGCTTTTGGGACTTTAGGAATACTTTATTCAGTTTTAATGTTTATTAATTTATGATGACATAAAAAGGGCCCTGTGATCTTCATTTTTAAGTTAAAAGGACAAGCTAGCTCTTTCTATTTTATCTTGCAACATAAAAAATTTTCTGTCTAGCCCCAATTAGTACAATTATTTTCCTGTTTTGTCATAGCAGGCACCCAATACCTTCTAGACCCATAATTTTCATTAATATGTAATCTCCCCTTGCTGATGCCGAAAATAAGCAACTCCAGGGATGGAGGGGAAGAGAGGGGAAGGGCCATTAAACAAACACTGCCCCTATCCACTTCTGGGGTAAATCTCAATTTGATGCATTCCTCAATTTGTGCATTCCTACATTACATCTGCAAGCCAATTTCTGAAGCCACCTCATTTGTGAGATAAAACTGGAAGCTTTTAGAAATTTAATCTGTGATTTTTGTAATACAAGGTGTATAGCAATGTCTCATAGCTGTGATATTTACAGTATTAAGTGTGTAGTACAGAAATATTGCAAATAAGATGCTGAAAAGGCATCAGGCACCACGAGCCACCACAATCACTAAATTGAAGCCTCACAATATATACAAAAAGTGGTAACATTACTATAATATTGTTATGGCTACTATTTTCTCTCTTTTTTAACCCCTTGTTCCTGCAGATTTCCACAATTTCAGAACTAAATTACTTAATTTTGTTGTGAGTTACACAATGACAAGATATTCTATTCTATTCTATTCTATTCTATTCTATTCTATTATTTCAGGACACATATTTGGTCTGGTTATTAATGAACAGAATTAACAAATTAACCAAAATAGGGTTGGGACTTTGCCATCACAGACCTAGCAAATATATTGCTATATGAGAAGAAAAACATGAGGAAAATGGTTCAGAGTAATTTGTATATTTAACTGAACTCTTTACACAACCATTAATATATGCTATATATTGTATCTAAAGTGTGCAAAAACATATATCTAAAATTCCTGATTTACTATACTGAATTTTATACTACAATTCTGCAGAAAGTGTATTAAAACATAAAAATTATTTTTAACAAAAAAGTGAAGCATACAAGAAAAATAAGCTTTATTACCTTTACTTCAGTTAATCTGTAATCAGGAGGGATGGTTTCCTCCTTTTCCCCAAGTTTCTCATGCTTGTCTTTTTTTGATTTTTCCTAGACAACAGAAACACAAGAAATAGAAAGTTTCAACAACAAGACAATCTCACTGTAGTTTATTAGGATTATCCCATTGCTTTCTACTATTTTTATAAAACAATAACTACCGTAAATCTATTGTTGACTATTACAGAAATTCTTTCAACCAACTCTCTACCACATGAACTACAGAAGAACATGAGAAAAAGAATTCAATGAATTATATATTTTGACATATATTCCTTAAATCCACAGCAACATCCATGCTCTTCCTCTCTCGTGCCACTTTCAAAATACTATTTTAGAATATCTCTGGTTGTGACTAAAATGATGCATGGTAAGCTTTGAATTACTTAAACATAGTTTGTTCAACACATCATAATTGGCTGTGTTCATGCATCAGGCTCAGCCACAAACCAGAATGGTTGGCTTCACATAATGCATGAAGCCACAAACATAGATAATTATGAATATATAATGTTCAGTATTGAAATCTGCCCACTGTCATGGCACTGCTCCATCGTTGGAGAAATAGTTTTAAAAATTGAGAATTAAATGCTAGCAATTAATTAAAAAACAGAAAAACTACACTTCATAGCAAACTATTTTGGTACATTCAGAAAGTAAGAGAAGCCCCCTCCATTATAATCAGCAAATTAGATATTTTATTACTTTCACTTTATCCACAGCAGGTTTTGTTTCTTCTGGAGCAGGATCTCTTTTTCCTAGGCTTCCAGATAAAGCTTCTAGTGCTTCACTAGTTGCTTGTGTGCTCTATAAATAACATAAGTGAAATCAGTTAAGAGGTATTTTTAAAAACTGTGATTGAAAAAATGATAAATATAACATTACTGATCTCAAATTTAATACAAAATAACAGGCAAGAAAACTTGTTACTATTGTGATAGTACAGTAATGTACAATTGGTTAGGCTAAGTAAAAAAAAAATAGTAGTAGGTATAGACAAAATTTATATGAAATTTTCTCCTAGATTAATTAAATATTTTACTTTGCCAAAAGCCTAAGTGAAATTGGACTTAGTCACCCCTTGAATCAGGGAAAAAATGCATTGTAATAATCCCAAATATTAAAAAGAGGAAAAAAACCCAGATTATCTCAGCTCCCAAATCATTTATATCAGCATTTCTCAACCTTCAAAACTTTAAAATGTGTGAATTGCTACTTCTGGGCGATCTATACTGAAAGTATATAAGGATGTTTTATAAGGCTCCTAAGGATAGCAATAGCAATAATAGCACTTAGATTTATATACCGCTACATGGTGCTTTACAGCAGCGGTCGCCAACCTTTCCAGCTCTGTAGATTGGCGGCAGTGCTGGTAACAGCGACAGGGAGGGGAGAGGGAATGGTTTTGCACACATGCGCCTCTTGCACAAATGCAGCTTCGCGTGCTCATATGCCACTAGGCACTGGGCCACGGACCTGGGGTTGGGAACCCCTGTTTTATAGCACTCTCTGAGCAGTTTACAATGTCAGTATATTCCCACAATCTGGGTGCTCATTTTACTGACTTCGGAAGAATGGAAGGCTGAGTCAACCTTGAGTCGGTCAGGATCAAATTCCTGGCAGCGGGCAGAGTCAGCCTGCAATACTACATTTTAACCACTGGGCCACTACGGCTTTGCCATAAAATCAATTATTGGATTTGATCAAATGCATCTTGGGAAGTTTTGTATTAATTTTATATTATTTTCTATAATTGGTTACTCACTGGAGAAGTGATTATAGGAGCTGAAGATTTTACAGAAGACACAGCTGAAGCTGAGATAGCTTCTTCTCCAGATGTTTTCTGGGGCTTAGTTGACTCAGGTTTCTAAAGCAAGATGACAAGAACAGATACCAATTAGAGGATTTTGCCTTTGCACAACATAGTTCAGGAGGCTTTTTGGGTTTGACAGACAGATATGACCACATTCCTGTTAATTGTAGCACAATTAAAATATTTGATTTAGAAAACATTTGAACATTTCATCTTTACATTATATTCAAGGAATAAATCTACTTCTGTCACATGATATTAGAATCAAATAAATCTTGACTTCCGGTTCCTGTGAGCAGTGAAATCAGTTGAGAGATTCGGGATGCCGAGCTCTCCAGCTGAGTTTCTTCCTGTTTGGGGACCCTAAATGGGCCAGAAGCCGCCCCGGAGAGGTTGCAATGAAGGAAGGCAGTCCCAGGGACCTAGGAGAGACGGCGGTCTCCCCGATCGGTCCAGGAGAAGCCTCCCAGAAACCAGCAGGAGAAAGGCTAGCTAACTCCATTGTCTAGTCCAGTGGTTCTCAACCTTTTTAATGCTGCGACCCCCAACCGGTCATAAGTCGAGGACTAAACGGGTCGTAAGTCGAGGACTAAATGGGTCATAAGTCGAGGACTAAACCGGTCATAAGTCGAGGACTACCCAACCGGTCGTAAGTCGAGGACTTTCCCTTCCCGGAAGTGCCGCGCATGCGTGGTTCCGCCCCCTGCGCCGGCCGAGGCATAGCTGGCAAGCGGCAGAGACGGTGCAGGCCGACCACCAGCTGGCCCAGCCCAAGGGAGGTAAGGCACCCGCCGGAAAAGGGGGAAAAAATGGCGGACAGCCTTCCTTGGCGACCCCGTGAAATGGTCGATCGACCCCAAATGGGGTCGCGACCCATAGGTTGAGAACCGCTGGTCTAGTCCCAGCTGCAAGCAACGGAAGTCAAAAGCTCTACTATAAGCTGATTGTGAACAATCAAATAAATCTTTTTGTTCAGTTTGGATCTCATTTTAGATGATATATACATACCCACACATACAATCTCTCTCTCTCTCTCTCTCTCTCTCTCTCTCTCTCACACACACACACACACACACACACACACACCAGCAGTTACTGCCCTCTCAAATGTGATCTCATTTTTGTGGTCTCTAAGAAGATACTCACTGTTGAAACTTCTGGTGAAGCCAAAGGTTGCACAGGAAGAGCTACAGGAGATGCAGCTACTATTAGTTTGGGAATTGGGGGTGGCTCATCTACCGCACGTCTCTTGGGAAAAAAATTTAATCATTAAAAGATATGACTGTTTGAGCACCATTAAAAGGAGTTGTGCCTAAATCTCTATTTCCCAGCATACAACTTGTCTTTACATACATCCTTCTGTGTGGATGGCCTGCTCAGTACTCTGCTCAAATAAAATCCCACAGTAATAGCTGCAGTCTGCTTTGTTCTCTTCCACATGTGAAATACCTAAACCTTAACAAATGGTGAGTTATATAAGAGCAGAGCATGAGAGGAGGTTATGCTATGGATGGATTTACACATTTATCATCTGCTTCCATTCAATGCAGTCTTTCTCAATCTGAAATTGTACTGATGCATTGAGAAATACTACTCTCAGATTTCTCAAAACAGCTTCCTGGTTGAGGAGCTTGTTTGATTTATATTGCTGCTCATCTCAACACAATATGCTTACAATAGAACAAATAAAATACATAAGTCAGACAATATTTAAAAAACAATAAAAACAATAAAATGTAACAGCCAGGCATAATCTAACCAACCACCAAGAGACAGTGTCTAATCCATGAACAGGCACATAATAAAATTTTCAGGCCTTACAAAAGGCCAGCAGGGACAAGCCAATCACATCTTGGGGGGGGGGCAGGGGGGGGAGGAATGATGTTCCAAAGGATGATGCTCCAAAAAACTCTCCTTCTGGGCTCCACTAGCCAACACTTCTTAGCTGACAATACCTGGAGAATGTAGAAACAGTAATCTAATTCAATACAGGATTTTGGATTTTATTGGGAAAAAGAAACATACCTTAGATATATCAGCAAGTTCAGTTGGTTTTGAATTTTCTGTGGAAGAAGCAGGACAGACAAAGTCTTTTGAAAATTCATCAATGAGTTCAGTCTCATTAATTGGCTGTAAAACAAAGAGGAAAAATAGATACAGAGTAAACAAAAAAAACAGACAAAAATGACAGCCACAAAGCGATAGCATTTATATATCACTTCATAGTGCTTTACAGCATTCTCTAAGTCAGGGGTGTCAAACTGCCGGCCCACGGGCCGGATGTGTCATGTGGAAACCATGCCCACCCCAGCTGCACATTGGCAAAAAATTATTTCACTTGCACTGTAAGAGACAAACTAATATAAGAAATGCAGGAGGAAGATGTTATCTTTTGAGTTCTTAAAGAAAGAAGGTGGACCACGACTGGGGGATAATAAATGCTTATAAAATCATGTAAGAAAATAATTCAGTAGAAGAGGTTTTTCTCATCCCTCCATGGTATTAGAATCTGGACTTATCTGTTTAAGTAAGATACAAGGAGATTCATGAATGCTAAAAGGAAGTAATTTCTTCAACTACATGTGATTAAATCATTGCCATCAAATGTGATAATGGCAACCAATGTATGAAGACAAATTGATATAAGAATAAGGCTATTCATTTGGATTTCTTATATATTACCATAAAAAAAAAGTTCACACCCAAAGTATTAGTTGCTGGGGATCAATAATGAAAGCACACTTTTGATTTCCTGTCTTCTTTCTGACTTTCCTGCAAATACAGAATTGGAACCTCTGACTTACAGCTCTGGACCAAACAGTCCTTTGTTTTGATATTGTATTTGCTATTGCAAAAATAGAAAGGAAAAGAATAATAAAAAGAAAAGAAAAATCTTTATTAAGAACTTCTCTTTGTAATATACTAGACTTTCCTCCAAAGAGAATATTGAATGTATTCACAATATATTTTGAAAAAAGAACTGATAAAATTTTCACTCAACTGGTTCTTTTTCAACAGAAGCAATAGAAAATAAATATTTTAAAAATTGTTAAATAACCTTTGGTTTCTCTTCGGGTGTTGGCAACAGCGGCTTCCCATCTTTGTCCTAATATTTTTTTAAAAATAGCATTAAGAATGCAATTCATATTCAAGCAATATAAAAATAGTGAAGATACAAAAGAAGTCCAAACTGGAATAGAAATAAGTTTAATAATTCTATATAATAACAATAATTAAGATGCCCAGTTGATTATTGAGAAGAGGAAGATCGAACTATGGCAGATGTAGTAAGCCTATGGTCATCACATTTTTATGAACTTCATTTTCCACCATTCCTCATCTTTGGCCATGCTGTCCAGTTGTCAAATTCCATATACTGGGTATGTTATACCCAACAGAATGTTATACTCTGAAAATTTTAGGTTTTCTTGCATGTCCAATTTATATAGTCTAGTTTTTTCCAAAACTTAGTAAGCACAGCACATTGTAAAAACATCATCCTTATAGGCCTTATAGGCTACCTTTCGACTTATGACTACAATTGAGACTAGAACTTCCATATAGTTTCTAAGTGAGTCATGCCCAATTTTACAACTTGATAAGGAAACTGCTGTGGTCATTAAGTGAATCTTGCTTCCCTCAATGACTTTGCTTGTCAGAAGCCCCCTAAGAAGGTGATAAAGTGGCAACCATGTAACTCCAGGATGTTGCAACCATTGTAAATACATGCTGGATGCCAAGTACCTGGTTTCTGATTACATGACTACATGATGCACCGGTCATAAGTGCAAGGACTGGTTGTAAATCACTTTTTCAGTGCCATCATAACTTCAAAAAATCATTAAATGATGGTTGAAAGTCAAGGACCACCTATAAATTCTGTCCTCAACAATCCTTTTCTACACAGACTTAGTGGAGTTCAATAAGCTCTAAATGTTATTTATTGTTGTAGAAAACATTAAAGCAGTTGATCTAATTTTTCAGGTGTCTCAGATGTTGGAAATACTGCTGGTCCAAATAATGTTATTAACAAATATTGTACCAGTAAATATTGCCACTGAGTTGTATCTGACAGATATTTGTTCTTAGCAGAATGCATATTAAAAACACATCCTCATCATGTATCAGTTGGTCCAAAATCAGTATCACCACTTTCATCCAATTTTTCCATATCACTGCCTTTTTTCTAATCAATGTTGGATTTCCCCATAAAGACAATTTAGCAGGGAAAAAAGCATTGGATCTTTCTGTTTAGTCATTATATACCATTGCTTCCTAACTGATATAATTGTTTCTAGATATACTAGTTCTATTATATTTAGATCCTAATACTATCCATTCAGCCAATGGTGCTGTATTTGTATATCCCTAAGAAAATCAACACCAATTGTTGACTTCCAGTATTTAATATTTGACAATTGGTAAGCTTGATGATATAGCTCCAGATTCTGAAGACCAGCCATCAATAGGCACATAGAGACAATCAACTTCTACATACTGTTCAAAAGAGACAATCAAAAAGCTAAAAGACCATATCACCCCCTTGCTAGCAATCACTACCCAGATTCTGTGTGGAATCATTATAGTGTGCCCTTTTTATCAGATGGTTGCAAACAAGCATTTCCCTATTCTTGCCTTTTATGGCAGATCAAAGCAGTGAAAGATGAAAGTGCAACCAGGTTAAGATTCCCAGTGCTCAAACTGCAATTATCTCTCTTAACCTGGACACAGTACGGCAAAATTTAGGAACAAATGGCTTTAAAGTAAAACTAAGACATCAACTAAATAACTGAATTATTTAATATTCCAGTGCAATTGCTAAACTAATAAAATAATGTATTGCATGTCACTGAAAGCTGGAGATTATTAGTTACCAAGGTTGGTTTTAATCTGTATTCAGGAGGAATTGTATCATCACGTTCACCAGGTTTCTTTTCTTTCCTTTCTATGGCTTTTGGCTAAAGGAGGGGGGGAAAACAATTTATCAGTATAAAAGATGATTCTTCGGAAATCGAAATACATACTCCAAAATCAGTGGGATTTAAAACTGCCTAAATTTAAATCGATCGAATCAATGTAATACTTATTAAATACTTAGGTGTATATTATTCATCATTCATTGATCGAATCAATGAATGATGAATCACATACACCTAAGTATTTCATGACTATTGAACATATACTATGTAATTAAATAGTACTTTATTCCCCCACTGTTGCAACCTAATCTTAATTTTTATTCACAAATACCTCTTAATGTATTTAATTGTGCTTACTCTAAATTTAGGACTACAAATGCAAAAAAAAACCCCAAACCTTCTATTTTATTGCACAAATCTTCCTAATCATTCTTAAACTTTCCAACTCTTTTATCAGCAAGCAAAAATTGTTCTGGTTGATTATTTGTACATTAGTTGATTAGATTTTTTTTTTTAAAAAAATGCCTTTATTTTATAAATAACTCAAGGCAGTGATACCTAATATTTCTTCTTTCTCCCCTTTTCCCCACGGCAAGAACCTTGTGAGGTAGGCTATGCTGAGAGTGAGTGCCTGGCTGAACATCACCCAGTTGGTTTTCATGTCTGAGGTAGGGCCAGAACTCTCAATCTCTGGTTTCTACCCAGGTGTCTTGATCACTAGATCAAAGTGGCTCTATTTTGGGCTCGTTTCTCAAAATGTTTGTAGCACAGATTTACCTCTTCAACTTCAACGAAGGAACTAGTATCTTCTTCAGGTTCAGGTTCTGCCATACCAAGTGTGTCCCCAAGAGCATCCAGGGCACTATCACTAATTGTCACCTAAATTGTAAAGCCAAAATGCAAATAATAATACAGGCGATTCCTTATATCTGCACATATACTGGAATTATTGGACATAACGCTGTATTGACAATTCAGATTTTTCAGCAATTGTTTTATAGTATAATCTAGTCCTGATAGCTAAAACATTTGAATACAGGATGGCAAATTATGCACTTTTTCATTACAGGGCAATTGCCTTGGGCTGGCTTGCACAGTCTCTTTTTTTTGTAGTTAATATTGAATTTCAAGTAATCTATAATAATACAGGCTCCTCAGCCATAATAATAATAAATCCACCATGAATTTTGAAACTTGGCTGAAGACTTAGTTGTAGTATAACAATTGTGAGCTCAGGAAAGTAGAGTGATTTATACAAGAAACAATTATGAGAAGTCTCAGGAAAATTAATCCTTGTTTATTTCAATAAAAAGGGGGGAAATCCATAAATTAATTATTGCCACATTCTAGGTAAAGTGACAAACATGTTCTCTCCAGCTATACTTATTATTCAGCTATACTTATTAGATAGTAGATTAATGGGATCCTAATATGCTTTTATAAATTGCTTGTGATCCTGTGCCTCAGTAAACATTCAGGATAATTATAGTTATATAATTATATAGTTATATAATTTAACACAGGCAGAAAGGAAAAATAGAAGTCATGCCCAATAAAAGCCACAGTGAAAACAACTGATCATTTTGGCAGAGCATGAAATCACGTTCTGATTTCACATCTGAAATTCAAACATACATGTGTTTGAGATCTTGCGGCAACTAAAGGATATATATTTTATATATGCATTATCTGTATTTTCAAATAAAATCTCAACCTCTTTTAAATATCAGCTACAGATTAGGGCTATATACCTCAAATTGTTCAAAGGCTCATAATGTGCTGTAGACTACTGAAATTTTTTCACCTAAAGCCACAGTCACCCTTCTATTGGATGGGCCCCACTAAGATGAAACCCAATAAAGTCCTCATTTTAAAAGCATTTTGAAAAATACTGAATGAAAAAAGCTGCAAAAATGAAAATATTTTCTTCAGTTGGAAAGACTCATTCAATGAATGAAGTTTAAATTCAATTCTATTAATATGTTTCAATACAAATTCTCATGATATAGTTTGGACATGTATAATAAGGACTGGAAAAGTTTTTGTTACCTAACTTTTATAGCAGCCTTCCAAAATCCTTGGTCATAATAATTTTGTGCATCTATTTTTGAGTATCAGAGCATTTAATATAGAACAGTAACATATCTACCTCTTCCAATTTTGGTTTCTTCTCTTTGGGAGGAGCTGAACTGCTGACTGATGTTGTAGTATGGGCTTGTAAAAGCTCATCTTTTGTTGCAGGCTTACAGCACAAAAATATAAATATATAATAAATAAATATAAACACAAAATGTATTGGCATAAATTATAAAAGCAAAGTATTAAATTAATATTAATGTATTAATTAGTGTATTGTAATGTATTGAAAGAAATATATTAATTTAAATGTATTGCTATTGCTAAAGCAATGTATTAAAACTACCTTTGTAAATGGATATTTCAAGCTTGGCAATATTCCTTTAAAAGACAGTAACCCAGTACCTCTTTTGGCCTGACTTCCTTTTCTCCAGCAGATGGTATAGTAGTGCAAGTGAAATCAGATGCCAGAGCATCTGCAAGATCATCGTCTGTCATTGTTGGCTAAATAAAAACATAAACTGGGTCAGACTTCTATAAGTGACCCAACAGCTCTTTACAGGCTATGGGCACCATATATTTTAATGCAAATACTATATAGCAAGATTAGCCAATTTCTAATCTGGAAACACCCATCATTCTCTATTAATAGAAGCACTAACATCAAAAGGGAAGACAAAAAGGGGAAAAAAGATGATTTGCAATCGAGTTTTACAACGGCTTGCTTTTCTAGCAGTTCTTTGCTGTTCAGTGGAAATATTCACACATAATATCGAGAGTGTTTTATTTAATGGCATGATTCAAATAAAATACAGATAGTCCTTGCCTTAAGACCATTTGTTTAATGACAATTCAAAGTTATGATAGTAGGAAAAAGGTGATTTACAACCAGCATTAGCACTTATGACCATTGCATCACACACACACACATAGTCATATAATCACAATTCAGGCACTTGGCAACCAGCTTACAACAACCTGCATTCATATAATCCCAATTTGCAACCTTTTTTTTTTTTTGCCAATTTCCCCTCATTAGGGAAAGCCATCCGTTGGGAAGTTGGATTTGGTTAATAGCCACATGATCTATTTAACAACCACGGTTATTCGCTTAATGGCCACCATAACATTGTCATAAAATTGGGTCCAACTTGACTTATGGCCATAATGGCTTATGATGGAAATTGTAGTCCCAATTGTGGTAGTAAGTCAACCTATATTAATCCAAAATGGAGATCATGCAATGGCAAAAACAAACCAACATTATAATTTAGCACAATAAGTGAATCCAGCAACTTATAGAGTTGAAGAGAAACTAACCATTAAAACACCAGAGC